AAAAAAAAAAAAGGAACCCCAGTGTCCGGGTCCCAGTCACCAAAGCAGAACTCCCCAGGAAGCAGAGGTTCCCTCCCCTTAATACCTTGGCTGGCAGTGCTGACCCTCCACTACCCAACATATGTCACGCGGCTGGCTCTGTGTCTCACATCTTCAAAAGTGCTTTGAACAAACATTAATGACCCCTCAGTGTTTCTCTGAGAGAGGGGGCAAGGAAGGGAGGGGGCAAGCACCACCCCATGCTGTCCTCAGCTGGGGGAATAAACCAGGCAACAAAATTCCATGACTTCACCAAAGCCACAGACTTAAGCTGGGCCCCCTCCCCCCGCTCCCTCATTTCCCCCAATGGCAACTTTTACTGGCTCACATTCCTCTTGCTAGGAATACTACTATTTAATTAAAAACGACAGACTTTTGTTTTCCTCTCCTTCCTTCCTCCTCCCTCCCATCCTCCAGGACTGGATGCCAAGGAGACCCACCAAAAACATGCGGGTAACATTTGTTATGGCTTTGAAGATAAAAGTCAATTGAAGTAAGCCCTCGCTGTATTTCAAGTTTCCCCTAAAGCATGGAGCAAGCTGCCTGGCAGTTGAGGAAAGGAAAAAAAAAAGGGGGGGGGACTGCAAATAAATGTCATTCTGCAGGAATACTTTGTAAAAATAAACAGGCTGAAAAAACCCAAAACTTGATTAATGGAAATCCACTCAGTTGGCCTCTGTCTTGAGCTGCAAATGCATTTGTTCATATGGCTAAATCGGATCATTTTCACTGGGCTTTAAATAAGTAAGTAGATCAAAAACTATAAATGGTGGGGGAAGAAAGGGAAGTTTGTAGTTCTGTTTCTAAAGGGCCTCAACCGCAGTGCCCCCCACCCACCCAGTTTTGACCTTTACTGGGGGACAGCAGCTCCAATTCCAGCCCAGCCAAGAGATGAAGAAAAATGGAGAAGAGAAAGCCCCCCAGCTAAGCAAGGCAGTGGGAGGAGGAGATGGGGGCTTTTCCCAGATGCAGAGATTATTGCATACGTGCACAAGAGGGGACTTTATCCCCAGGCTCACTTCCCAACACCGGCCCCTGCAACTGAGCTGCAACCAGCCCAGGTGCCACGGCCCCAAAACACACACACACACACACACACACACACCCCACACACATCTGAAAACTCCACAGGCCCCTCCCTAGCCCATGGACAAGACCAAAGAACTAACCAGACCTGAGACTCAGTCTGTTCCCCTCTAAGTTTAAAAAAAAAAAAATTAAATGTCACATCAAAAAGTTGATTCATCCTTTGATCCTTGGCTTGCTCGAGTTCCACGCAGACCATCTGAAAGCCCCGTGCAGAGTTCCAGAGCTCCTAGGACATCTGTGAGCACCAGTCCCAGGCCAAGAGCTGGGGCTGGACTCACTCACTTCCCTGTCACATCAACTGCTCCCCCAGGAATAACTCCAACTTAGGGTGGGCCCTGGCTGCAGCAGCAGGAGACCCTCTCTCTCCCTGTGGGCCAAGTGAAGGGGTACCAGGTCTCAGTGCCCCCTAAGCTCTGCTACCTTGATCACAGCCTCTTCTACTGGGGTTCCTGGGCAGATGGTACTGATGAATGCCACAGACACTTGGAACACATTTGGAGGCCAGCACAGTCCCGCCCTCCAACCCAGACACCCCTAGATGCCTTCCCTGTCTTCCTAGCAAACCCCCTCCAAATCTACCTTTGAATGCTGACCGCAGAAACAAGGTAGAAGTCAGAGCAGGCCCCCAAATCCCTCCAGCACACACAAGCTTCCCCACAGACTGGACCCGCACCACCTCCCCACCTAGGACTTTTCTCTCCCCAGACAGCCCTCTACCCCCAGCCAGACAGGAGACTGACACCTGAGCCACCTCTAAGATTCCCCAAGACATGGGGGTACCAGTGGTTTTGGTGGGGCAGGGGCAGCTGCAAAGGGACTTTCTGGACTTAGAAGCTGTGCCAAGAGGGTGCTAAAAGTTGAGGTGGGTAAGGAGACCCGTCTCTGGGGCTGAAATGTAGGTGGGGATCGTACCCGGGTTCCTCTGCCAACGGTGCCCGCCACCTGCGGCTGTCGGGGTCCAGAGCTGCCGCCTGGACAGCGCTGCCTCCCGATCCACTCCTCGATGCCCTTCCGGGCCCAGGCGGCGCTCACGGCGAAGCTGTCACCTGGGGCGGGGAAGACACGGAGCCCCTGAGTCTGGCCCCTGGGCCGAAAGTTACCCGAGAGAGGAGGGAAAGAGTGGGCTCGGCAGAGGCAGCGGGGCCAGGAGGGGGTTGAGCGCCTGGGCACAATCCGAGAGAGAGGGACGCAGGTAATTGGGAGAAAGGGGTTCAGCGAAGCCCCAGGAGCAGAGACCCAGAGGGGAGCGCATAAGGGGGAGCAGCACCCCGGAAAAGGGGTCTGGGGATCAGAAGAGCGAGCGCCAGAGGCCAGGACGGCAGAGGAGAGGGGTGAGGGTCAGAGGACGGGTGCAGTGAGCACGGGATGAGGGGAAGTGGAAAACTGAGGTTCAGGAGAGGGGCGCAGTGGGCGCAAGAGCCCACAGCTCGGGAGAAGGGGCTGAGGGCCGGAAACAGAGGGGCAGGATCTTGAGGGAAGGGGCTTAGGAGTCTGAAGAGGGGGGCGCAGTGAGCGCGGAGGGCGGGGACCGCAAAAGGAGGGGTTGGGGGTCAGAAGAGAGAACACAGGACGGCGAGGAGGGGGTAGGTGGGACAGAAAAAGGGGCGCGAAGGCTGCTCCCGGAGCGGGTCTGTGGGACTGGTGGCCAGAGTTGGGGGTGGGGGTGGCCCTGGTAATAAGATCCCGCGGGCTAGGCCATTCCGCCGCGGTCCGCGGTGCTTCCCCGTCCATCCCCCCGGTCCGTGCCCCGCGCGCCCCTACCTTCCGGGCTCTCCCTGCGCTTGCACACGGCGGCTGCAGGCACATCGCGCGCGGCGGCGGCGGCGGCGGCGGCGGCGGCGGGAGCCGGAAAGAAAGGAGAGGCAGAGAGTTAGCAATCGCGGGGGCGAGGGCGGCCGGGGCCAGGGGGCCGGCGCGCGGGCGGGGACACTGACCCGGCTTGGAGTGAAGTTTCCCCATGCTGCGGGCGCGGCGGGCGGGGCCG